GCCATTCTATAAATATAACCAAACCCATTAATTGGTTAGTCATGGAACTAAAATAGACTTTCATTAGGGGAACTCATAAATGGGGATACAATGTATGAAAACTGTGTATCATTACCTGATACGTAATATAGTAACATAGCAGACTGCAATTAAAATACATAAAGTATATCTAAAGCCAAAACTTTTTGTAGCTTTTGGATATAGCATGGATTGGTTAAAACCCTGTCAGTTTTGTTTTGCCAACGGTGTCCCATTGGGGAGATTTACCTACACCATCTGTCCTATAGACACAATATGTAGTGAGAGGAGATTTCTTCAAAGTAAAGGAAATCAGCTCTAAGACTGTTGTCATAGCAACAAGTAATCCCATTGGAATACTTCCCCTTTATTCCTGTTCTGGTGACAACTATATATTTTACATTTCCCCTCACTTTCAATGGCAGTAGCAATGTTTACTAGAAATAATACAGAGGGTGAATCCCCCTGGTGGAGTCACAGACAGCAATACATATTTCACAGGCTTCATAGCCTTTCCCTACTCTATCCAAAATTAAAGAAAACAAATTGCCTTTCATGCAAATGTGATAACTTCCGTCGACTTAAAATTAAAAAAGTAAATATGATTGAGCTTTTTAGAAGTTTTTTTTTTTTTTCATTTTTCTTCAACTACACATATAATCTCTTAATATGAAAATGTGCCTCTTTTAAAGTATAAAAATACCACAATGATATTTCAATCTTGGTTAATGTGCTGCTACAATACACTGTAACTTCCACACAGTACTAGTAACTTCCACACAGTACTAAAGAGTGTGTATTGGCCAAATGTTAGTGTTACTTTTTGGATGTAGTAGGGAAAGTTAGAACCCCTGATAAGTTTTAATTGCTGACTGTCTTTGCTGGGAGATTCACCTTCTATACTTGTCCTGGTAAACATTGTCACCCTATATATAGATTGTATAGGGTCCCGACAGTCCTCCATGCCACGTACCCCCGGGTCCCCTTTGTCTGCTGGCATTGCCAAGCTGCTCCGGGCACCATGCTGCATACCTTTTGGTCTTGTACGAAACTACGACCATTTTGGGATTGGGTCATTCAAACCTTGAAAGACTTGGTGATGGTAGATTTGACATGCAATCCAGCTGCATGTTTACTGCACCTATCGAACATCTCTGTTGCAAAGTACAAGAAGTCCCTGATTAAGCACCTTTTGAATGCTGCCCGCACTTGTATTCCTCTATTGTGGAAACAACTGCATCCTCCTAGACTCCGTTTGTGGTTCACCAAGGTTGACGAGATTTCTCAGATAGAGGATCTGACCTCTACTTTGACGAACGTTTCCGAGAGACAAGGAAAGTCTTGGCCATACATAAACTTTAACAAATGAGGCACACTGCATATGCCATGTAAAGTATATCTTCCTCCCTTCACACCTTCAACAGTGTTGAATAGTAAAATCAAAGTACAACAATTTTCAGTTTCATTTTGGTTTTGAAATTTCCATTTCGGTGCACCTCTAATTCAGAGCATAGTTCTTGATCACTTGAGAATTTTGATCTGAGATGCTGGGCTACAGAGAGGTCATAGCTGACAGAAATGCTAAATTTGCATTCCAATACCTGCAAAGGAAAATGTGATCCAATGTAGCATATTCAATCCTTGTACACTTCTTTAGGCCCATAAAATTAGTTTAATTACTTGAAACAAAGTAACTGTAATAAATTAGCCTTTTAGCTATAGGAAATGATTATATAGGTAAGGTCTAGGGGTGAAAAAAACATATCTTGGTTCATTTTCTCTGGTTTACATGCAGGTATATGTAATTTCCCTTACAGTAACGTTATTGCTTTCACATACTTCTGTGCGCTGGATTTTTAGAACATTTTTCCTAGTACAGCAGTGTGGGAATAATTTAGGAAGAAAAAGAGAAGCTGAGTTTGTTAGGAAAAAAAAAAATACCAGAAAAAAAACTTTTCATGCTTAGGTTAGGATAGATGCTGTAAGGGTAAAGGTATACTTCTACCAGATTTTTAATCACTGTTTGAAACCCCTATCGTTGAGAAGAGTTAAAGTGGACCTTTACCCCCTTTGACTAAAAATAACATCAGCATACAGCTCCGATCAAGTTGTTATTAGCCCAGGAAAGGAAATCTGACTCTATACAACAATTTCACTTTAGATTCAGAGTAAGGATGCACCAATATATATCGGCCGCCAAAACATATCGACCGTAAATGGCACTTTTGGATAAATAACGACAGTGCCATTTTCCTGTCGATACAGCGGCGCATCCCAGCTTTCTCTCCTCCCCGCTGGGCGCTGCTCTGTGTCCCAGCAGGGAGGAGAGAAAGGGACAGTCGGCCGAGCGCTGCGGGAGGAGAGCGATGTCAGCGGCCGGCGTCTCTCCTCCCACACCGCTGAGCCTCCTATCACAGTCTGGCAGAGCGGTGTGTGGGTGGAGACAGCCCGCGCTGTCACAGGAGGCTGAGCTCTCCTCCCGCACCGCTCGCTCAGCCTTCTATGACAGCATGTGTGAGAGAAGGGAGCGGGTACAAACACTCAGCGATCAGTGGTCATGAGTGTTTGTACATAATTGAGGACATTGTGTGTTTACTATATCCTCAATTATGAATGAATGGGAGTGATCTCCATCACCTCCTGTTCATTCATAGTTGTAGTTAGAGGTCCTGAGATGATGCGCATGGTCACATGTCCTAGTCACATGTGCCAGAGTTCCAGGAAGTAAGGAGAGATCTATTAACCTGCCCTTAGTTAAAATGGCCACTGTCAGATGACTGGGGAAGAGAAGAAAAATAAGGTATGCAAAAAATAAAAAAAACTGCAATTATCTAGAAGTATGTGTTTGTAGATTGTCATTACTAAACATTTCTAAAGGTGCCTTTGTTGTTATTTGAAGATATGGGTAAAGTTCCTCTTTAGGAGGTTGCTGCTGGAAAAGGAAGACACAGACAGTAATAAAAACCTGAAAGACGTGGCAACCCTTCACCATTTTACTAAAAAAACTGTAATGTTGAAGTCATTGGACGTTGATTTACTAAAAGCAAATAGGCGGTTCACTTTTTTTAAGGGATTTTCCATTTGCAGGGAAATTTTATCTTAGCTTAGCCAATGTGGTGAAAATTCACTTTGCAAAGACTACCCGATGAGTTGCAAGGAAACTAAAAAAACATTTTTTCTTGCACATGATTGGAAATCAGCACAGCTTCACACCTTTCACTAAGCTAACAAAAAATCTACTTGCAAACAGCCTATTTGCCTTTAATAATTCAATCCCTGTGCCAACACTGGAGCAATTTCACATTAGCAAGAAGAGAGGGGAAATCTCTTTTCATTAAAATTATTTCCAGTAATGATCATGGAATTAAACACCATTCACATTTACAGTGGAAGCAGAAGTAGCTGGTAGTAGCTGGACTGTAAGTACTGTTGCAGCCTTATGCAGAGATACTAAACTTAGCATATAAATCTGCCTGACATGCAGAAGCACAGTGATGCTATTTGCGGTATAGTTGCCAACATGTCAAAATAGTTGTGTGGAGCAAGTAGAGAATCACAACAAGTGGTGGCATGACCAATAAAATGGGTGTTGCTTTACAGTGTATAGCTTGTAATGTGGGAGTAGGATAAGCAAGCTATACACTGTGAGGCAACATTGGTGTCAGTGGCAGTAATCGTAACCTCCGGCTTTGGTGTAATTGGCCACAATAATTCCACCTTAATTGGTGGTCAAAAGTAATAATCCTAAACTAGTCAGCATTAGTGGTTAGTGGAAGGCCAAATTAACCCCCCACCCCAGCGTTGGTGGTCAATGGCAGGCTTGAGCTGTAATAAGAAAACTGCCAGCAATGGTGTTAGATGGCAGGCTTGGGCTGTAATACGAACCCTACCTCCCCCCACGGCATTGGCAGTCAGTTGCAGGCTAAGGCTGTTAAGACAACCTCCTCCCCTGCATTGATGGTTAGTGCCAGGCTCAGGCTGTAATAAGAACCCACACTAGTATTGGTGGTCAGTGATAGACTTAGTCTGTAACAAGAATCCATCCGTGGGAAAAGCTCTAAACCCCCCCTCCTCCCGCCGCAGCATTGGTGGTCAGTTGCAGGCTTAGGCAGTTAAGGCAATCTCCCCCCTGCATTGATGGCTAGTGCAAGGCTTAGGCTGTAATAAGAACCCACCCTAGTATTGGTGGTCAGTGGTAGACTTAGGCTGTAACAAGAATCCATCCTCAGGTACACCATACTTATTATTCCATGTAAAAATGATATGAAGAATACATTACATTGAAGGATAATATCATGAAACCTATTCAGAGAGCAGGATTTTGGATTCTCCTGTATTTGTACATATAGATTTGTCTGATCTGCAGAGAGCCATGCAGTCTTAATTTACAGTCATGCAAATCTTAATTTACAAATCCGCATGAGTATGTGCGAGAGAATCTAAATTTTGCAGATTCACCTTCGCTAATGTGCCTGGTTTTCAAGTCACTGTGATAATCAGTATAATTACGGTATATGGTATTACAATATAATTATATGAAATGAAAAATAAATCTAAAAGTGAAAAATTTTATATCTAAAATATAAAATATCTGCATTAATAGTTCTTATTTTTAGGTGCATACACTGTATACGTCCCTAGTGACACTGTATGGAATTAATAAGGACAAGTTGCTTACTAAAGAGGCAGGTGGAGGAGGGATCTGTGCCAGGATGATTATTTGTTTACTATGAGTGAACCTGACAGAAACCATCTTGTTCTTGAGAGTTGTGCTAAACTTTGCTGACTGTTTACAAGGTAAGATGGAGAAGGTATACACTGCATATCACATATTCTGCAGTACACGGGTACATCTTTTAATACAGTACACTGTTGCTGAACATCCTCTACCAATTGCTGACATACAATTTTCCCTGAATAACTATATGCACTGAACTGAGCATAACTAATGGTTTTATTGACCAAGCAATATTAACACAAACCTTCATTTATTTTGATTTCGAATACGGAGGCACCTCCTTTTCAGCGGTGGCTCCAAGTCTTCTGTCCCTGTGGAGAGTATTGGAGTTGAGATTATACAAGGGGTCATCGCAGTCTTTTCTGCTGGTTTTGGCACAGGTTGGATAACACAACCTGTTTTAGGCAACATCCTCAAAGCATAGGCATGGTCCTCGTCAGCTGGGTTATTTAGATTAGGATCTTGCTTGTCCCCAGGTATTAGGGACTCATCCACAAGATTCTTCTTGCTGGTTTCTAGCTCTGAGTGGCAATTTGAAGCACAGTTGTTTTCTTTAACAGATTCCAACTCGCTTACTACTGGCTCCTTTTCTAACAATGTCTTCCTTTGCTCATGTATTTTCTCAGAGTTTTTAGAACTCTCTGTGTTCTTTGCACCATTTACAATGACATTACAAACTGCTGAACTGGTTTCCAGTCCTGGCGTGCTGGGGGCCCGCGACACTGGACCACAAAATTCAGAGTCACTGGAGTGATATACTTTTGTCTCCAAAGGAGTACCATTCTCCATGCAGTCACTACAATTGGTTCTATCAGAATTACTGAAAGATAGGTTTACAACACTGTTAGGTTCAGATTCAAGTTTGAATGGAGAATTAAAAGCTCTATGTATGACATTGTGAAGTCTAGACCTGTGAGCCACAGTTAAATCTATGACTCCATCCTGTGGAACCTGAAGTGTATTAGTGATACGAAGTTTACTGTTTTCTGGGCTTGCTGTCCTCACTGTTAAATCTACCACTTCAGTTTTTGTTTGTTCCTGAACAACTGTAGCCTGGTGAGATGACTGCCCTGAACCACCAGGAGATGAATCAGAAGGCTTAAAGGACCATTGTTTAGAATCCCTTGGGGACACAGAATTATCCTTTGGCTTTGCACCTGGTGCATCACTTGATGAACTTGGAATGATGCTTTCACCATTGCTGGAGAAGTCATTTGGGGGTTTGGAATCCACCATTTGTGGAATAGGTATGGGAATAGGTATTGGAACAGGTAAAGGAACAATAACAGGATATGGCACTAAAAGAGTTGGTGGTGGCACTAAAGGTGCAAGAGATGGCAAGCCAAAATTAATCATTTGCGGCATATGCATGGGACCATTTGGCATCATGCCCATGGGAGGGAAAGGAAGACTAGGCAGAGGACCTCCAGGTGGATGTGGTGGAAGCAATCCTGGTGGGTTGCCTGGTGTATTTGGTGGATTAAAATGAGGTGATAACATTGGTCTATGCATAGGACTAGACGTAGGACCCATAATTCTCGAACCACCTGGAGGTGGACCCATACCAGGGATCATTGAATTGGACAAAGGACTGTTAGGGCTTGAACAATGGGGACCTCGTAGAAAAGGTGGGCGTATTTGCTGTATCATTTGCTGTTCCATAAATATGGGTAGAGGAACCGGTCCTCTATTAGTCATAATCATGGGAGGACTCCTTGGTGGTACGCCCATGGGAGGCACAATACTGGCAGGTGGTGGGATAGGAACTGGTGCAATATTTGGACTGTCATTCATGGGAATGGATTTGGGAACTGGTGTGGGAATTTTTGTAGCAGAAATGTTGGCAGCATCAGATGGGGAAGCAGTGGTAGAGGCTGATGATCCAGGACCTTGTACTTGGCCAGCTGCAGACGCCGGGGACGGAACCTTTCTACGAGCATCTGTCAGCGGTATATTCCAGGAATCTGGAGTTAGCAGCTGTACCCCAGTGCCTTCTGCTTTACTGTCAGCTGGGGGATGTAATGTGTTGCACAGTCCAGCTGGAAGGTTGGCTTGTGTTTCTTTGTAAAAAATGTCCATTTTGTATTGATTTAGACATTTTGCGCTGCAGAACTGAAGCCTTCGTTCCCCATCTCCAAAGTCTAGATATTCTTTAGTATGCCGTATATGTTTACACCAGTCGCATACCTAAAATGAAAAATTAGAAATGTCATAAGTTTAGATAAACTGGGGGTACATACATGACAGTAAAAATCATTCTTCACATATTATCCCATTCCAGACTTTAAATGATAAATTATTTTTTCTTGTTTGTACGCTTCTCCTTCTTGTAACTCTTATTAGTCGTTATGTACAACATTTCATCTGTATGCCATTTATGCTTCTCACAAAATCACCTGAGCTTATGTCAAAATCCTTTATAAGTATATCACCCATTAAAAGTATGTACCGGCTCTGATACTTTACTCACTCAAGGTGAGTAAGATCAAGGTATACTAATGGCTTGGTTGATATACTGTGTTGTTTAGCTTAGACAGGATGGGTTTCATTACTGGTAAATTCTTTATCTACATACTCAAATTATTATTCAATTTATTTAATAATATGGCAGTACATTTGTATACATCTGGTGCCATTTTTAAAAATAAATTATAATAATGTACCCTGCGCCAAAACTTAAACAAGAAAAAAATTAACCTTTTTTTGTTTGTTTAATATATACCTAAATAAGTCTGCCCATCATTTTAATATAAATTTGCAGCATGTCTACCTCATGCTGTAGTGTTTTAGTTTAGCATAGAATCAGATTGGTTTCCTTTTAGATTGTAAGCCCTCAGGGGCAGGGCCCTCCTTACCATCTTGTCTTGGATTGTATTGTGATTGTAATGTCTTCCTTATATTGTAAAGCACTGTGCAAACTGTTGGTGCTATATAAATCCTGTATAATAATATTAATAATAGAATACAAAAGAGTGAACCTGATTCATACACTTGTTCAGATGACACAAAGTAGAAAAGTATTATAAATTATAAAGCACAAGAGCTGTTATACAGCAATAATTATCTCTGTATGACATAATTTTGTTAAATATCATATATTTCCTTGACGTTTTCCTTAAAATGTATGTAAACTATAAAAAATAGTTTATTTGCTAACTTGCTTTCTGTTAAATATACAATTTAAAATGTTGTGTTATATCTGTTTGATAAGTTCAAAAACATTTCACTCTAGGACATGAAGTGCTTTACTGGCAGGAACAAATAAGAACAAAACACTGAAAAAGAAAACTAATACAGCAACTACACCTAAGGACTGGTAAGCTTTAATATATTACATGTTGTTTCAGTGTCTAATAAACTCGCCATTAGAATAAAACGGGTCTGCCATTGATGGCCTCCCATAGTGCTAGCTGCCTGGCTGTCTCTGGGGTCAAAGCTTTCTACATCACTGAATCAGAACAAGTATGTAGGTCAAGAATGTCAGAGGAAGGTCAGAAGTCTTTTTATCTGCATAACTGTACTGGGTTAGTGACTCAAAGAACAGAGAGTCAATAGGACAGCCACTAAAATAGATATTTCAGATGGAGGGCTCAACAATGGCAGTCTATGCGTCCCTCTCAACATAGGTTTCCTTTAAATGTCACTATATAGATTAAATAGTAATTTAGGAATGAAAACATCATTCTAACTTGTTAAGGGATATCGTTAATAGAAATTAACATATATTCTTAAATAATATTATAGTAACTGTTTAATTGCTAGCAGCTATGCCCTGTAATGCTTTCACTTTCTAATTTAGTTGTTGTTGAAACAATATTCAAAAACAATAGACATTTCCAATTCTAAGATTTATCACAGCCTAATTTTAAAACCATAATTTCAAGGTTCCCATTCATTGCTTCTATTGAGATTATTATGATTTCATTAACACATTAATTCCTCAACACCATCCGTTCTCGCAGATGGCTAAGACATGATCTACAATTCAAATATGATTCTTGTTTGCACTAATGCCTTTCCTTCGTATGGCATTTTGAACAAGAATTTATACGGGTTCTCCTGCCATTGCTATAAACAGATAAACAGATGTCAGCAGTTCTCATGAAGCCTTCATTTTGGACAAGATTTAAAAAAATAAAAGAAAGATGCATGATTTTATGTGTATATTTCCATTTCAAATTATTCAGTTATATATATAAATAGTTTTAGATGCAATGGGGGAAATTCATCAAAACCGGAGCAGACAGAATCTGGAGCAGTTGCCCAGTCGCATAAATGTAGATAGTTTTTATTGCTTTCTGGCCAGTTAGAGAGATTTCCCTTTACTTCCTGTCCCAGTGACAACATGTCAACATCACAGGAAGAGAGGAGAAATCTCCAAGAGCGAGAGCGAGACAGCAAAAAACATGGTTTATCACTTTAAATAAATGTGCTGAGCTTGCCTTACTGTCTACGTTGCCTGAATCCCATTAACCAAGATCATGTTAAGAACAGTGTAAAGACAAAGTAAACCTGTGCCCAGACTATGCACATTAAAGTATTTACATATTCTAAACAAGCTAATAGGCTGGATTCACACCTATGCATTGAGGTAAAGCAAGTGTTATGTGCATTGGTGCTCTGTGGCAAAGCTTACCAGTGCACCAGGATTGCAGAACACACCTGAGCTAAAATAATGTGCTTTATCACACGGGCACGAATGGATCTGTGGGAATCCAGCCTTATAACATTTTAAAACAGAAGTTAAATTGTTTATTTAAAAAGTGCTGACAAGCAGATTTTTGATCACATAAGATACTGTGTAACTCTGTTCTGTCATAGATTCTCCTATCTGTCAGCACTTTTTTTCAGTTATTGTACACTGAGCCACGCATGTGCAGCTCAGTGTATAGGCTCATCAGATATCCTTGCCAAGACGAAGTAACTCCCATGCACGGACTACAATCTCAATACAACTTAGTAAACTAAACCTGAGATTGTAGTCCATCACGGGAGGGAGCTCGGAGCGGTGGCTACTTTACAACAGAGAATGCAACAGTTACAAACCTTTTCACTTTTTTATCGATAGGGTTATAGATTTTGCTTTGTTGGCCTGGCACTGCACATATAATTAAAATGTACATGATAGTATGGTAGAACAGAACAACACAACAAGCCATACAATTTTATTCATATTAATAAGCACATCTCTGTGTTTGTCTGTTGCACGGTTGACATAGACATAATTGCATTAATGATTAAGAAGGTGTAGAGGTAAGTTTTGCTTCTAGCCTAAATTTAAGTATTTGCCCTAGGCATAGCTTACAGCCAGTACCACTCCAACAGTGACAGGCTCAATTTTAAACACCCATGTTCACTTCCAACCTACATAAAGTTACAATGACCAGGGACAGAAGGTTCTTAACTATTAAATTCACAAATTACAATCATACTACAAATAGTGAAATAGTATTGCAGTTTAATTGTTCTGCTCCCTTATGAGTATCAATGTAGAGTTGTATTACATTAAAGAGGAACTGTATTCATATCCTAAAAATGACAGCAAAGGCACCTTTTAGTAATAGCAAACCACAAACACATACCTATCGATAACGGCAGGCAGTGGCGTCACAAGGGGGGTGCGGCCCGCACCCGGGTGACACCATTGGAGGGGTGAGACCAAAATGACTGACAGTCATTTTGGTGTCACCCCCAATGATAAGTCGGGCACTCGGTCACAGACCAAGAGCCCGACAGTGTCAGGAGAGAGGAGGACCCGGCGGCATACCTCATCCCGCCGGGTGAACGTCCCCTCCTCTCTCTGCTGGCATCTATCACCAAGATGGCTACCAGCAGGCGCCAATAAGACGGCCGCGCGGTGATGTCACACAGGGGTGTCACCCGGTCTCCGCTCCGGGTGTCACCCAACCTCGGGATGCCCCTGACGGCAGGCATATTCACAGTGGCCATTTTTACTAAGGGCAGAATAATCCATCTCTCTTTATTTCCTGGAACTCTGGCACATGTGACTAGGACATGTGACCATACACATCATTTCAGGGGGAAAACATGCCTTTCCCTGAGATCTCAGGTTTACAAATGAGGTTTCCCAGCAATGCACTGATGGTGGAGAGAAAAGCCCATGGTCCCCCAGCTGGTTTAATGGAAAAAGGCAGCTCTGGCTTGAATATACACCCTCAAGACTTCCCTCCCAAACTACTTTTATCTCCTACAAAGTGTCCTCCATCTTCCAGGTTAAATGAGCCTGGAGTTGAGCTTTAAATTGCAGAGTCGGCTTCATGTGAGACCAGATTCTCACCATGCTTCATTGAAGGAACCCCAAACCACGGAGAGGCTAAAAAAATTGATTTATGTTTTATGTATTATTTTTATGTGTTATGTATTATTTTACAATAGAAGTCAAAAGAGTTAAGTATATCTGGGTTAGAGCAAACTTGTAAAAATAAACTCTGATGGCAGTTCACTTAACCCAGTGCAATACTGATGACAGGGTTTAGATGCAAGGGTTTTGGATCCACATAAAGGAGAGCAGCCTTAAACACTGGGCATATGAACTGGCATTTCCACAGCAAGACAGAGGCAAAGAAGCAGACCTCTTTCTATACAGATACTAGCTTGTGTGCTCTTTAGCATTAGGTAGGTGCTTTGGTGGGGTGGGGGTTAATCTCGGGTTTACATTGGTTAGAAAAAAATTGCATTTTTAAATGCAACTAGTGTGAGTAGTTGAATTTGTCTTGGTAACCGTCTCCAGCACTCCCCTGTCCAGCAGTGCTCAGACTGAGAGTGGGAGTCAATCAAGCTGTGGTGCAGTGCACATATGCTGACTGTAAACATGCTTATAGGGGTTAGGTTTTTTTGCAAAGTGAATTTTCACAACATTCACTTAGGTAAGTGAAAAGTCCCTTCCAAAGTGAAAATTCTCTTTCCAAGGTGAACATGCTGAAGTCCTTTAGCAAATCAACCCCTAAGCATCCAAAGATTTGGATACCATTTTGCGACAAGCATTAATGATAAACCAACTTTACTGTTCTAATGTGTCAATTGTAATTATTGTTGTAGGATGCATATAAAATACCTTGCAACACTCTCCTGCTTTATCTGTGTTCTTCTCTATTACTTTTTGTAAGGTTAATTTGTAAATAAATGGAAAACAAGGAGGATCTGTACTGCCCAAACTGACCACTCAG